CTGCAGGTGGGGACCCCTAGCCCGGGGAGCTGACTCGCCCCTCCTCTGCTTTCTCTGGAGCTGGGGCACCCGCACGACGTGCTGGTCCGGCCTGACCACCCGGAGCTCACGGCTGAGTGCCAGGAGATCACCCATGTGGATGTGGAGAGCCTGGCACTGGCTCCACCGCTGGAGCAGGCGTTGAGACAGGTGATAGCCCATAACTGGCTGCTGGGTGCTGGTCTCCCTTGGGGGCTCCCCGCTGGGGTAGAGACAGTGTTAACCTCTATTTATCTCGTCCACCACCACCATTGGGGTAGTGGAGCCTGGCACAGGGGCACCACAGACATGTGTGGGCCAGGCAGCCTGGTCTGTGGTGGGCTTTGTGGGGATTTCTCCCTTGCCTTTTGCTTATTCACCTTGGGAAGGGACTGAACCCCAAGAGAAGACAGGGTCAGGCATTCCCCTACCCTGGTCTCCTGCTATGCTGGACCCTGAGTCTCAGATGATCTAAGGGGAGCCGTGATCAGTGTTGAAAGACGCCAAGTTTCGGTGACCTCTGAAAAGGCTGGGTGATGGCAGGCCCTGTTAAGCCTTGTGGTGGCTCATCAGTCCTGGGAAGGAGACAGTACTGAAGCCTCTAGATAAACAGGGAGGTGTGCGTGATTCTCATTGAGGGTAGGGCTGAAAGCCCGTCTCCTTTCCAACATGCTTGAGTGCCCTGTCTGGAAGGCTGTTCTGCCCCAGCACTCCTTCGGCTCTCTGCAACCGGCTTTATGTCTCCTTACGGTGCTCTTGCAAATGCTCCTGGAAAAGGGTATTTTTTTCTGTGTTGTGGACTATGTGGCCACATCTCGTTACAAGGAGGGGAAAAAGGGCAATTTCCTTGTAAAGATAATGATCATGGAAGTTATCGTGTGCTTAGCTAATAAGAAACAATCTACAGAAGTGAAGGACTAGGCTTGTATAAAGAGGAACTCCAAATCCATGTTCCTGCTGCCCAGGAATAACATGTTACCAACTGATGACACTGCCTCACGCAGCCACTCTGGTCTCTCTTACATGTATGCCTTTTGTTGTTCCTGCTTTCAGTTTAATCAGTCCGTGAGCAACGAGCTGAACATTGGTGTAGGTACTTCCTTCTGTTTTTGTACTGATGGACAGCTGCACATTAGGCAGGTTCTGCACCCTGAAGCTTCCAAAAAGGTATGTAATTGTAGTTTAAGTTTGATTCTTGGTGTGCTTTATGTGATTTCTTGCAAAACTGATCAACTTCTCTTTAGTATGAGAGTGCCTCTGCACAACCATAGCACAAAGATCACTTATGTTATAATATGCTTACCAGACTAGAGCGCCTGTCCCTGTGGAAGGCATAGACAATGCCCTGTGCTTATGTAGCACTGAGATGCCTTTTTAAGTTGAATCAGAAGAAAGATTTTCTTGAGTTAAGTGTTTGAGATGGGAGCAATGCATTGACAGAGTACTCCTAGTTCCTGCAGCTGTAAGGAGTTACAATGTGTTAACAAGTGGAAATTAGAAAGTGTTGCCTTAATCATAAACTGTCTTAAATTTTTACATTCACCTTTAGCTTCAGCAATTTTCAATCTTTATGTATTCAATTGACAGTCCAAGGGCGGTTCTCATATTTGTAAGGAGCTGAACAGTAGTTTAAGGCAGGCTATGGGTGATGACTAGTCCCATAGTCTAGAGTTTTCTATAACTTCAGAGTTGCCAAATCGCTGACAGTGTTATGAGGTCCTACCTACTTTTCATTAGTGATAGGGTTGCAGCAATATGCCGAGTCTCTAGTCCTGAAATAACTGCTTCAATATTAATAACATAGCATTTTGTGGTTTGCTATGAGCATGCATTGCTCTGAGCTGTTCTGCTCCTCTCCTTGCAACTGATCTCTGTGCCCATCCATTTGCTGCTGGACCTTTGAAGGGGCACTGCTGCAAGTCTGTGCTGTTAGAAAAACTGGTATCAGATGAGTTGGGTTTTAATACTTGTTGGTGCTCTAAGTATTTATACTTATTTAGAATTATTTAGAAGAGAAACAGTGAGCATAAGTTATAGAGAAGGGACAGTCCTTGTACATGTAACTTCTCTTCAGGTATAACGTGAGGAAAACGCGGAAACAGGTTTTTAAGGAACTTTCTTTTCACTTGTATTGGATATGTATTTTATACAGTTAATCTTTCTATGCAGTTAAGTTATGTAGATAAAAGAAGGGGCAACTCATATGATTATTTAAGTTTGTTTGGTGTCAGGGATGGGCATCCTTTTTCTGTATCATCACAGGCTTACTGATAGGAATCAAATCTTCGTCAAAATCTCCTGTTGCTATTTTGTTAAGAATTACTTATTTGAAATCTGCTCTGTGCTGCCTATAGAATAAGTAAACCAGATGGTTATGAGACTTGTAATAGTTCTTTGGTGAATACCCTAATCCTGAGGTTGGGGTGGGGGTTGACTAAAATCCAGATAGGCAGAAATCACTAGGTTCCGGGGAATATATTTAATTCTTTTAAGATGCCCAGTCTGAACCAATCTAGCAGCTCACAGTATTCAGAGAATGAATTGGCATCAGCTGTTCCAACTGAATGTCAGTGAAGAACAGAACTCGATCTCTCATCAAGGAAGAAAAATAGCTGTGCTAAAACTAGAGCAGGAAATCTTGGCAAGCACACCTGCATTTTCATAAGTTTGTCTTTTAAAGAGTATCGTTTACCTAATGCACCTGTCCATATGCTAAGATAAGCTCTAGTGTTCTCAAAGCAGAACTTGTTTTAGAGCTTAAACTTCTTTCTTTGGGCTCCCTAAATGTGCTTTCACATATCTTGTCATTCTGTTATAAAGCCAAGATGCTAACTAGTTGTGAAATCGTAGAAAGCCCCTACTTTTGATCTAGAGAGGCATTGCAGGCAACTAACAGCCAAGTGGAATACGAAGTATTGTGTCTGTGGAGAAGCTCTGGGGTGAAGAGCTAACTGAAGGAGTAGGTGTTTGTGTTGGTTTGAGCTTCTCCCCAGGTCTCCTCCATGTCTTCTCCTTCCCACCCCCAAAAAAATTAAAAGCACGTGGTAAATGTAATGGTGGGGGAAAAGGGTTTTATTGACTTACAGTGGGCTACATAACTTGCTCCTGGCTTCATATGCTGCAATTAAAGCAGTTACCACACACAGACTGACAATCCCTGCACTATATCAAACCCTTATCTACACACAGTTTTTTGTTTTGATGGTGTTTTTTGTGTTTTCTATTGTTTGTTTGTTTTTTTTAAAGGGAATAAATGTTTGAAGTATGAGTATTCTCTGAAAACTCAGCCTTGTGTATAAACCAAAACATCTTCTGCTAGTCTTGCAAAATTTGCTTGGCTCTGTAAATTGAACTGAGTGCCCTCTGGCTTTTTATAGTTAAAACTGGAATCAAGAATTGATGATGTATGTTGCAACAGCAAGCGTTTGCTCTCCTACATATATATTGGATTTGAGGCACTAGTAATAACAGCAAATGTTTCTCTGGCAGTGAAAAAGCACATACCTCTCTTAAACCATGTGGGGAGGAAGCTGCTTAAGCAAAAAAAGCTTATAAACATACTTATGTGGCTAAGAAAAGCTATGTGAGTTTCTCTGTAGCAAAGGCTGTTTGTGTTCCTTACCCATTATAAGGAAATTGTTAGAAAGTTTGGTATCTAAAGACAAAGGTTAAACTCACCCTAGCTGACAGTAGTTACTTCGTCCTTTTACAGAATGTCTTGCTGCCTGAATGCTTCTACTCCTTTTTTGACTTGCGGAAAGAGTTCAAGAAGTGTTGCCCTGGCTCACCTGACCTTAGCAAACTTGACGTTGCAGCCATGACGGAATGTATCCTTTTAACAGTGATGGTGCCTACTGCCGTTACAGCTTTGGCTGAGTTTTAGGAGAGAGATGCGTGAGTAATGCTTGCAGCATGTGCTTAGGGGTGGTATAACTTTAATGAGTGACTCGGAGCTTTCTCACAAAGATAAAGATAAAAACACATGAGGATGCATGCTCCCATGGGGAAAATCCTGTATTTCTTCTTGATTTCTGTACATTTTCTTTACTATCTTTATAGCTTTGTCCCTTTAAACCTCACAAGTTAGTGTAACCGGCACATTTGTTCAAACTGCTGATATGAATCCTAATACTAAAGCTGTGAGGTTGCTCATTGCATAAGTTAGATTTATATTTTATTTTTAGGTAAGAGTGAATGTTGGGAAACTATCTTAATTTTTAGGAGGGGGAATGGTTATTCTTGATGTGAACTTGTAGTGAATCTTTGATTCAGGAGCAAGCCGAAGGCAGGGATGCTGTTGGCACATGTGGTATTCGGTCTCATGGAAGCTGTGCATGTCACACCTCACGAGGTGAGGCTGGGCTGGCAATGAGATGCAGTCAGTAACAAATTTCCATTTTCGGTGGTAGGGATGTCTAAAACTACTTTCTGAATAGTCTTAAGTGATCTGTAATCTAGTCCTGTCTGTCTCTTTACTTGTCTTAGCTGAGTTTTGTTTGTATGCCATGCATAATTACCAGAGCCAAAACTGGAGCTGTGAACAGTTTGGCTGTGCCTTCCTCCTTGCTCCCTTGGCAGTCTCCCCTCTTGCTGCAGGCTCCAGCCCTTGTCTCAAACATACTCTCAGACATAGAAAACACTTGACTTCCCTACTAACCTATTGAAGCAGTGACCATAAAAGCTAGCTAGCAAGGAGGGATAAAGGAATTTGATAGTATTTTTAAAAAAAATATTTTTGTTGTTTTAATAACTTTTTTCCTCTGATTAGCTTATTGTGTTCATAGAGTGGTTGCCATTAAGAGCTGGTATTTTTCAGACTCAGAAGTCTGTGGCTTTTGAATTCTTTTGACCTTTCACTGCAGGACCTGGGCTTTGTACTTATGTCAGGGCGCATAAAACATCTATGTATGTGTGGATTTTTTTCTGTGTTTTAACCATAAGGTTGAATATTGGAGACTGCCTGCTCTGCTTTTCCATCTGCAAATCAAGATTAATCTCCCCTAGTGAAGGGGCAGAAATCACTTCTCCCCCCTACTCTGAGGCAAAGTGGTACACTTAGTGTAGGAGTGTGAATTTTTATGTAGAAAAGCAAAATAAATGCTTGTGTTGCATAGCCCAGAAGCTGGATGATGGAGAGACTTAAAGTTATCATCAAAAACTTAATACGCTGTTTAGGGATGCTTTGACATGTGCTGGAGAAGCTAATTAAAGACAATGAGCTACTTGGCTCTTTTGGAGAGATGCCTTTGCTTTCTCCTCATGTGAATGTCTGGTGTATATGTCTTGCCATCGTGGAAATAGTTGTACGACTGTAGCACCTGGGACGTCGCTGGTCAGCTAAGGCACAGCGACGGACTGTGCACTCCCTGCCTGCTGGGAGAGGGGAGCAGACCACCCTGCGTTACCCGACTGTCAGGAAGCCCCTAAAGAGTCAGAGGCTGGTTTTGGCAGTTGCCAATAGTATTTCCTCCAAGTCCCTAGAAGTTCGGTCAGTCTTTCCAAATGCTCTCAGCTTGTGTCTGAATTCTGGATGCAGTATGCTTTTTCAGGTATATAAATCTAAATAACTTTGTTCTGGTTTTATATTAATCTTTGTGGTTTGTCTTGTTTTGTAACGGAGGATGCTTTTATTTGTAAACTTGCTATGTTTATGCATCGTGGCTGAAAATGTCTCTGCCCTATATTGTTTGAGAGTGTTTGGGACAGAGGGTGCAGAGACCAAAAGGTAAAATAATTTTTGTTTTCCTTTTATTGACAAATATAACTTTCTCCTCACTGAAATGTACCAACTTAATCTCCTCTGTGTCAGAAGCTGTATAAGTTAATTGCACTTGAAGAGTCTGGATATGCATGTAGTGTTTGGGATAAAAAAAAAAAGTTGAAGCAGGTGTTAAGTTTAAAGACTAGTTCAAATAGTTCTTGTGCAGATTTTTTTTTTCCTTCATGTAAGCAGGACAGCTACTTTCCTCCAGAGACAGTTACGTAGCAAAGAAAAGAAAATTTCTAAATGAAAAGTAACTTGGATTTGATGTGGATATGCTGAGGCAGGGGACACAAAAATTAAAAACAAATGGAGTAGATTGAAATGAAGTTGCAGATTAGTGCTCAGAATCTGACCAATGTCTTGTTACTCTTGTAGAAAGTGCAGATCTTCCACCTCATAGCTAAGGGGGCTGCGTGAGGGGAATCTTCCATGATTTGTGCCACACAAAATATACTGGGCCAGGTTTGTTAGCATTTGGTGGAGATAGAAGATTTTGGGTTAGGGGTAGGGTACTGACTAGACATGCAGAAGACCTGCGTTTACAAACTGGGGGGAGCTGGAGTAGAATGATTTTTGGACACATCCCTTCATGTACTTACATCTCTCTTTACCTACATGTAAGACGGTTGTAATAAGTGAGAGGAAACTTGTGTGATACAAAAGAGTTAAGGGAAAGATGGGTATTATTGTACAGTCATTTAAATTATTAGCAGTCTTCCAAAAGCTTTTCTTTTGATGGGTAACATTTGATTAAACAACTAATTACAGGCAAATGGAGAATGTACTTCACTGCTCCCAACAGTCAGGAGAGAACTTCCTACTGCACAGTCATTCAAGATATATACTCCAGTGTATAATACACTTGGATAGTTGTCTATGTATTTCTTGCAGTCAAGGCAAGCACAATCTTGAGAAAGCGCATATTAAAGATATTAGATAAAGATATAGAGCATAGAAATATTAAACTGAATAATTGGCTGGATTATTCTTCCTTTAGAAAGTACTTTGGGGACTCTTTCAGCAAGCTACTTGAAATTGTGTACAGCAGTGAAACCATTCCAAATCCAAGAGTTCTGGTGAAAGCTTTACATTTTCTCTCCTCCCAGTTCGCCCTGACCCCCCAAAAAATTATAAGTTACATGTACAAACAACCACTGATTTCTTTTAATGCAGGGTAAGGAAATGTTTAAAATGCCATGGAATTTGAGGGACTGGGGAAGAACTGAGACTAGTTGTAACTGTTATCTCTGAGTGCTGCTGCTGCCTAACTTACAGTCTCAAAACAAGTTTTGGTGTAGGAGACAGTCCTCTGGCAGACTTTCTTTAGGCAGTATTGTGTAATAGTAGTGACAGCAGGACAATTATGAGAAATTTCAAGTAACAAAAAGAACTTGAGAGAAGCGATCATGTTCTGGCAGCAAAAGGAACTCAGGTCTGTCGAAATCTGTTTTTTTTTTTTTTTAAACATGTGTAAGTATACAAAAGGAGCAGGGTTGTTCTTGCACCCTCTGTACCTCCCATACTTGCTGCACTTCTTGATTTGCAAAGCTTGCTGAGCCAGTTTTCACCGCTGTGAGTGCCTTCAGGGTGGAGTGAACAAAGCTTGCATGACTATTCGGTCTGCAGAAGACTCATCCTTTGCCTCAAGATTGGGTGTGCAGAAGCTATTAAATGGCAAATAGCTCTTGCTTCCTCCAGTGCATGGTTTGTTCCACTCACTTCTGAACTGGGTTTGTGAGGATAACTCCTTACTAGGAGTATATACTGGGTGTTGTCAGTAGAAAGACAGGCATACTTCAGAACAGCCTGCTTAATGTGCTGGATATGGTCTGGATACTGCAGTACTGAAACTTGTTTGGTTTTGTTTTTTTCAGCCTGGGTGTCTTGAAACAATGATGTGGAGCACAGTTATAACCAATAGGACTTAACTCTGACAACAAAAAGCCCATTATTGGGTATTACCTGAGAATCTTGCACATTGCTATTTGTATTTTCTATGACGGTACCCAGGAACTGGGTAATATCAGATTACCTTTATGCAGAGTAGTATTTAAAAAGATGTAACCTGCCTGAAGAGTCTTAAAAGCAGGACAAAAGGGGAAGAGGATCAGTGCAGAACACAATTGCAATACTAGTTCATGTCATGTCATCTCTGAGCTAAGTTGGTTCTTCAGTGTTTCTTTTTCTGTAGTTAAGAAAGGAATTGAGACTTAGAAGTGGAAGAGACGGTGAGAGGGCAGAAGTCTAGGAGGGCATTGGCAGTGGGTAAAGCTGTGGTGACGAATCTGAGGAAATGGTGAAATGGTTTAGAAATTTCTCCTATGTTATATAGGCAACTCTGATGTGGAATATGCTCCCCCGCCCCTTACTGACTTGCTGAGTGTTGCTGGAGGTGGTACTGCAGCTGCACAGCAAGATTCAGAAGTTCCTTGTTTCCTATCATGCCTTGTTATTTGGGTGCACTATTTGCCCCTTGCTTCATTTAGAATATATGTGAGCATGCTACTGCATATGGTAGCTTTAGACAGCCAGGTGTGTTTTCTAACACTTCTTTAAATGGGAACTTGGATTTATCCACTGCAGTCAACTCTTTCCAGTTGCCCAGGAGAGCCAAGCTTTAAATATCACTGTACACAAACACATGTGTGGTCTCCTATCCCTTCACAGATCAAGGGGTGGGTTTTATAAAAACTATTCCATTAACAGCTTTTTCCTAAGTGTCTGTAAATTCCGGTGCCTCCATTCATAGCAGTTCATCTCTACGTAGTCAGTCTTGTTCATTAGAATTCAGGTTTTCACTTAATGTTATTATTAACATGCTCCTTTACATATGCAGAAAGCTATTGATTTACTTCTCCAATCTTGCCTAAAAGCCTTGCATCTAGCTAGTCAGAGGCGAAGGTGTGAGTGATTTCTCACTCCTACTAATGTTGATGACTTTCTTCCTCCCCTCCCACTGTGTTTATATTAATCTAGAGTTACTTGGCACAACTGACTCCCTATGTCTGAACACCTGGTACCAACTTCTGTCAGCATTAGGGCGTTTTTAGGAACTAGATCTCCTGTTGATCAATATTTTCAGTGAAAATGTTTTCTGAAGAAAATGAGCGTGGTGTGGGGGAGTTGTTTGTTTTTCCTTGTGTGATAGCCTTGCTTCAAATTCCCAGCTCCTTCACACGGCTGCATTCTCCTCTCTGGCGGCTGAGCCCTTGTAGGGATCTTTGGCTCTGCAAAAAGGAAATGTTGAAATGTCTCTTCAGTTTTTGACAGCACAGTCTAACAACCAAGTGCACGTGTGTGCACATGTGTAGGCATGCTCCCTGCCGTAATAGCTGTTGAAACTCCTGCCCAATTTCTCTTGACTTGACAGAGGAAAGATAACATTTCCAAAATCTTCATAAAAAAGGTCAGGCAAGACCAAGGTTCCAACATCTGCATCTTCAGCAGCTTGTGGTTCCCTGAATAGGCACCAGAGTCTCTGCGCAAGTGCAGCGCGGAGCTCTCAGATGCTGCAGGGAGAAGGGTGTAAGGAAAAGGAGGAGAAGCACTCCTCTGCTCTGATACATGAAGTGCCCAGAAACATCTGTGTGGTGCTGATTAAGCACCCTCTCCGCAAGGGAGTCTGTGGATTATTTGTTTTCTTTTCAACCCCCCTTCCCCAGAGGGCAGGGAGGGAGATGATCTTGAGTGTACAGTTTAGAAGAGATACTGCAATGAAGAAGTTTCTTCCTGTCACAAATACTGATAGTCTCTTCAACTGTGTTTTGGGGTTGTTAAGGATTTTTAGCGTGGTTGAGAAAACCATTTAATGTTCTCACTACTTTACTCCAAAGAAGGTATCAAGAGGGAGGGTAATGGCAATGGCTAGCAAACTGTGTTTAGTCAAGCAGTTGGAGGGGAGGGATCACTGGTTTAAGTTTTCTTTTTTTTTAAACTATGATCATTCACTTAAAATTCACTTAAACTTCAAATGTTCTTGTAAGACTAAGCACCATCCTCTCAGCTTCCATACCCCAATGCATGCTTAAAACCAACAAAGTCTTAAAATCAAATTAGCCTCAAAGTGTATTGTCTTGACACAGCAGCTTTCCGTTCCTTGCTGTCGAAGAGGAGTTCATTAATTCAGTTGAAATTATTTTTATCTCAAACAAGATAACAGTAAAACTTCAAAACCAGTTTAAAGAAAAAATCTGTTTTGTAGGCGTGACCTGCAGTCATCTTACAGATAATAGGGAAGACTTTCTATTTCAGGGAAATTTGTGCTGCCTCCCCTGTTGATGAGATGATAGGACAAAGTTGGTGTGTGGTGTCTGTTTCTAACAGAAGCTGCTGTTCTGTTCCCTGCCCTTCATGTAGGCATCTGCCAACTCAACTGTGCTCAGCTCTAGGTGGAGAAAACTTTTTTCTTTTAAGAAGAACCTTGCTATCTTGGACTAAGAAGCAACTTTTGACCACCTAAATGCAGACTCTTTTGAGCACTTGAAATGTGTCCAATGTAGTTTTGTGGGAATGTGGGGAAAGTAATTTGTGCATTTGGCTGTTTTGAATGGCGTGCGTTACTGTACTGTCATGCCAGGATAGGTTTGTTTAACAAACTCTGTTACTTTTGCTCTAAAGTCTTGATGCAAATGTTAAAAGAAGTCAAAGAAGCAAGTCCTGTTCCCAGAATGCTTTACATTTCACTTCTTGTTCTGTACTTAGTTTTTTTACCCTACACTCCTCAAAGGAGATGTGGGTAGAAAAGACCTTTTTTAAATATCAACTTTATAAATGATGGAGTAAAGTTGCAAGTAATCTTACAGTCCTGTAGCTTGGTGTTAGAGAGGGGCAAATATGACAGGGAGCAGGAGAGATACCATAGTAAACTGTGGAAAAAGATGGTATGTGCAACTTAAATCCGACTCCCTTTAGGAATGTGCGAGTTTTTAATCTGGTCATTCTACAGCCTGTCTTTCCAGGACAGAACATTTCCCGTTCTCTGTTGGCAGGAGAGCTTATCCTTGGTATCACCTAACAAAATCCTTCAGATTGAAGAAGATATGAGTTGTGGGACTCTGTTTTTTCTCTTGGCTGTCCACAAAGGTGTATTCTTACCAAATTCTCAAAATGCTTCTGCATAACAGCAAAAAAAAGCGGGTTGTAACTTCTGATAGGTAAGGTTTAGACAAGGTGTCATTTGTGAATTTTGTCAAAGTGGTGAGATATTTATTCTACCGTGGGTTTTACTTGTTCTGAAAGCACGTAGTATATCCTCCTACTTCTGGAGCTTCTAGTTGATGGTTTGCGTCTCCTTCCCCAAATCTTTCCCTGGAGATTACAGATGATGTTAATTAAAGAGGACATGACTCCAGGCTCTTCCGCATGCAAAAGTGTATCTGTCTGTCAAACATATATAATGTATGAGTATATTAAATATATATGTCCTTATTATGGGGTCTCATGTCCCCGGACACTTTCTGGAGTGACCTCACACTCCCGCAGGTGGCAGCAGTTATAGACCAAGGCAGAACAGCTAATGTATCCCAGCAGGAAAATAGATTAAATCTTCCCCTGAGAAGCAACTTGCCATCAAGGATAATATGAAAGCTTGTTGCTGTAGCAGGAAGCCAATTAGAAATCTGTTTGGTGATGATTGACTTAACTCCAGCATAAAGATTTAAATCTTGACAAGAACAGTTCAGCATTTCCCTATGGAGCCTCTCAAGTTGAAGATATGGGGAATATTATTTTAACGCTAATATCTGAACCATACAGTAAGTGATTGTGATGAATGAGTTTTCTATATTGCTTGCTTGGTTTTTTTTCTGCTTCTCTTGTATGCTGAGGAAAAAGAAAATAACTTGTACTGTATTTCATAGATCACAGATTTTCAGATCCAGAAAGAGTGAACTACAAATTTGAAAGTGGGCCTTGGTAAGTACCTTCTCCCTCTTCTTGCTTGTGCCCTCCTCCCATCCCCCTCACCCCACCCCCCCCAAGATGCTGCTTAGATAAGCTGTACCTCTCTGTACTCCTAATTTGCAAATACCTGTTACTGTTACTTTGATTTATCTTGCCACTGCTGTGGGAATAAATAAGATCCTTTAGTGGGAAAGGAAACAGATATTCTATGATCAGATACAAGCCAGTTTTCTTGCTAGGCTTCAGTGTTGCTTGTTAGCTGCTGGTAGGTCTGGGTTCTGCCAGTAAGTGCTTATAAAGGGTGTTAAGTGTGCTGTGCTATTAACAAAGAATGTAAACATTTTTGCAGAAGTACCCAATTGGTACTAACTCTTAGACTTTTCCTGCAAGTTGTTTCACGGTTACTGAATACACGTAATACTTACTTTTAATAGGGAAGAAACATTTCCATAAAGATACGGTGCTACCAGTAAAATGCTTAAACTGTGATGATTGTCTCTTTCCCAAATATGTTTTAAACATAAAGCTTTATCTACTCTTGATGACTGTTTCGTTGCCGGGGTTTGTTTTTAAAATGTAATCATGCTTTTATTTGTGCAAATACAGCTTTTTCTCAGTGGTTTGCTGGATACTCCCTCTGCAGTATCACAAGAGACTGGTGTTAAACTGACCTTATTTAGATTCCCATCTTGCATGAATACTTACGTCCTTCTTCCAGTTTAAGGAACTGTCATAATGGTAGATGATGCTCACACTTCTGACCAAAAGAAGCAAGAAAAGAATGAAACAATATTGGCAGAAAGTATCCAGTGAGATTAGTTCAGGGATTATGTTTTAGCATTGTTCTAAACTTTTTCCCTTTCACTAACAAAATCCTGGTATGAAGTGGAAGACTCCCGATTTATTTGTGATCATGAGAAGTACAGAATTAGGAGGTGGGGGTGCAGAACAGTTTGGGACAGATACCTACAGAATGAGGCCACCTGAGAAATTAAAATATAAGCGAGAAGCATGACCTTCCTACAACAAGGACACACCAGAGCCCTTGTGTACAAGAGATTCCTCTGCTGCTGAACAGCACTCCATCTGCTTAATCAATCCCATAGTCTTTTCTGTGCAAAAACCTGTCTTGCAATAGCCAGGAAGGCAGCTTCGGGCAGCTGTAAATGTTTTGTTCTACATGGCACTTTTAACGTGTAAGAGAACAAAAGAGACTGCGGTAATGACCAATTAAACCTGGCTTTCGGTGGCTGAGCTATTCCCATGCTAAGCAGCCAATGTAGCCTGTAGCTATATGAGTCTCTAGTAGCATGGTGATGGCCTGAACAAGCAATGTTAAGGCTAAACTCTTTGGGCAGGAGTCAGTCCTCTGTGTGCTGAGTGTAACCCTGAACAGATTTGGTCTTGGCTTCTGACTGGCTCTTAGGCACTGTCACAGTACAAATAATAAGCACTAACCTCAGTTACATCTAACTGCTCCAATTTCCACTTAGCTAAGATTACAACAGCAAGTTTAATTTTGTACTAGTAACCCTGTTCAGACAATGGAGAAGCACAAACCATTGGTATGTCAGGAGTAGGGTGTAAATTTGAAACTTGTTTGAAGAGAGGAGAGCTCAAGGAGCAAACATGGTGAGGCAGGAAAGGGGCAGCTTAACAGATGTTCCCTGAGGAGAGACACATGCAGTGGCTTTGGACGGTGGTGGCACTTCGCTCTCGCTGCCTTGGCAGTGCCATCCAGCAGACAGTGAGCAGGGACAGAAGCCTGTCCCTGGGGCACAGGTGACAGCAGGGAGGGTGGTGTGTGGTGGCTACTACAAGCAGATGTCTCTGCATTACTCCCTCTTTCTGTGCCTGCAGTAGCAAGATGGAACTTGTGGATGACAATGCTGTTATCCGAGCGAGAGGATTGCCGTGGCAGTCGTCTGACCAGGACATAGCGAGATTCTTCAAAGGCCTAAATATTGCCAAGTTAGTAGCTAAGAATTTACTTCTACGTTTGTAGTACTTTGTGTCAGTCATGGAGTTTTATCTCTCTCTTGATTTAAATCCTGCAGGGGAGGTGCTGCACTCTGTCTCAATGCCCAGGGTAGGAGAAATGGGGAGGCTCTTGTGAGGTTTGTAAGCGAAGAGCATAGAGATCTAGCACTACAAAGGCACAAGCATCACATGGGGAATCGATACATTGAGGTGCGTGACGCTGGCCTTGAAAGCCTCCTCTCAACAGGGGTGCAAACAGCATGCCAATTGCATGTTCTCTTTTCTTTCCTTAGGTATACAAGGCAACAGGTGAAGACTTCCTTAAAATTGCAGGAGGTAATTTTTAGGAAGTGAGAAGGGAGGGTTTGTTCCATCAGCATCTGTAACAAACTTTTGGCTGTAAACTGCTTCTCTTGGATGTGGCCTTTCATTTTCTTTCTTTGAATGAGTAGTTGGCTGGTGTGTTTGATTACTATGTACTCTGCTAGCAGCAGTCCACGATGTTCCATGATTTATCTGTCTGTCTATCTTCTACATTCTGGCCACTTTCAAGCAGCCTATCAAATAAGGATTTGATCAGGCAAGGTGATCTTGCATATGAACCTAATTTGTTAGATCATCTTAACTGAATGGACCTAAATGTTGTTGTTGCTGGAAAACAAAACCAGAGTAGTTTTTCAAAACAATATGACTGCTGTTGCTGTGGAGACTTGCATGTAAAAGCAAACAGATATCACAGTGTAAATTAACAAGGCATTTATGGAACTGATTTTCTTCAATTCAAATATTTGCCTCAAACTAAAGGGGGAACTTAGGGGGGAATGCTTATTTAAAGGGAATATTGAAATATTTGCAGCCTTGAATTGAAAGGCCACAAAACTTGCTCTACAAACTCTCCTGTAATCTCTTTTGCACCCCTTTATGACTGCAAGCCTACAGAATTTGAGTTAAGATCCAATAAACTCTTATGTATGTACAATACTACCTTAAGGTCCTTGTTGGTTCCTGACAGGGAGTTGGTCTGGGGATTGTAAATGACGAACTGGATGTCTGAGGTTGAGGTTTTAGAGTGGGAGAGGCTATTAAGCTGTCAAATAAATAGGTAATTGATAGGCTTGGTAATAGTTACACCATTCAAAGTAAAGACACTGCGTGCTGACATTAGGGAAAAACGATGTGTGTCTGGCACCACTGAACTTCTTTGCAGAATGAGCTAGCTGTAAGTGAAAGGACCATATTAAGATGTGAAGTTGGGTAGCAGCTAGCTTTGGTTAGGGTAGTGTTATAAGTATGAGCATCAGTGGTCTTCTAGAGATACTGAAAGCAGAATTGGCAGACTGACAGTTTTATTAGGATGGGATGAAATTCCTGAGCTGTTTTCAACATGCCTTTCCAACTTTGTTTCCCAGCACAATGGTCTGGGTACTTGGTTACTATATATTATGGCTTCAGAGCATGCTGACGGTGTTCCTAAGTTAGAAAGGTGAGGCGCACGGTAGCGCACATAGTGCTCATGCAAGAGATTCACAGTCTATGCTTTCCTTTCTGAACATTGTATGTACTTTCTGTTTTCCCTGTGAATAAGGACGAGTCTCATCCAAATGATGAAGTAACATTGTTAGACTTTAATGGGAAGTGTCCTATACAATATTTCTAGTCTATCTAGTGGGACATTTTTTCCTGATTTAGGAGGCAAATGTTGTTCTACCTGCTCAAAAACTGTCTGTGGGGAGGAGGACATAGCTATGCCAGACTTGCTCATGCTTTTATGCAGCTGCCTAGACTTAAGTGCTTCTGTACTCCTTTCTGTTAAAGGCACTTCCAACGAGGTTGCGCAGTTCTTGTCGAAAGAAAACCAAGTGATTGTCAGGATGCGAGGTCTTCCTTTTAATGTAACAACAGAAGAAGTGCTGACATTCTTTGGCCAGCACTGCCCTGTGACAGGAGGAAAGGAAGGAGTTCTGTTTGTCACATACCCTGACAGCAGGCCAACAGGGGATGCCTTTGTATTGTTTGCTTGTGAGGAATATGCACAAAATGCACTGAAAAAGCATAAGGACTTGCTGGGGAAAAGGTACATTGAACTCTTCAGTCAGGTGAGTTGTAAAGCTTACAAACATTGGCTTTTTGTAATCCAAACTCCTACACTGGCATACAGGAGTGGAAATGGCAAATGGCCACTGCTTGGCCATGACTTGGAAGCTTCTTTTTCCTTCTCTTGACTGTTGTTGGAAAAAGTACTGTCTGAATTTCCATGAGGTTTTGTTCCCTCTAAATGTAAGATCTTATGGTATGTGGATATTCTCAATCATATATACAAACTTTTGAGGTTTTGGCTTCCAATAGCCTTGCAAACAGCAGTTTTAGCAGAAAGTTTTATGTCGGTCTAGTGCTTTATGCTACAGATACTGAATTTGTCTAAATCCAATGATGGTCTGTTCAGGAGGAGCGTTAGCAACAAATCTTGATCTAAAAGACTTATCTTGTAGTCACTGACACAAAAACCAGAGCCTTTTGCTGTATTTGTCTTCAGAGCAATGTATCTGAAGACTCTTATGAATTGCCTCTAAGGGCAGGTCTCAGTCATCTTCTGCCAGCCCTGGCTACCTAGCAGAGTGTGGTGGGACTTTGTGAAACTGGGCCTGAAGGGTGCCCCCCTCTTGCATTAATATAGCTTGATGGATCATTAATTGCAGTAATGCTGTGAGGGAAAGGAAGTAGGGCTGAGAGGATTGTGTATGTATTTTTCTAAAGATTTGTAAATCTTCAGTTTAGGTCACTAACTTCTAAACATGATTCTAAAAGGTCTTGCCTGTGATGCAAATGATGGCCAACCAATAACCATGTGACTGTAACCAAGCAATGGCGCAGCTCTGATCCCCCAAATACGTAGATTTCAATGCCTCGTTTGGCGGGTGACACTAATGATGAGAAGGCATAGCTGCAACACTCACTCTTGTCTCTTTTTCTCAAGTGCTCTCATAAGTTTATTTGTTTATCAAAACATTCTGATACCTGCATAAATGTAAATTAATCTTAATCTTGCTCAGAGAAAGTTAATGGGTAGTGATTGAATATTCAGAGAACTCTTGACCAGGCAGGGTTTTTACTGTTAAAATTAGTAAAAAGACATCTCAAAGCATGACTGTTACAGATATTGTGACTCAGTAACACCACCTATGTTATTTGATGGACTATTACATCTCAAGTCAGGGCTGTTTGGTAGTGATATATGCTTCTAGTCCCCAGGCACTTCTAAAGTTTTGCAGAAGAGATATTTTTGGGTAGAAGTGTAACCATGCCTCTGTAGATGGTATAATGCTTTGGGTTATCTTCCCAATAAAAGTACTGTAGAAACACAGGTTTCATGTTCTAAGAGCTCTCCTGAGAGTTGCATAACAGTTAAAGTAAATTCTCCAAAGCAAAATTATGTTTTTTCAAGAAAGAATGATCCAAAGATTTACTTGAAAAATTCTGAATTCTAAGCACTGCTGCTGTGGTTCAAGCCCAGAATCTAGCTCATTTGTTTCTTAAAATACTGCCCAGAGCGAAAACAGATGGCATTGGTGTTACATTCAGTTCCTCTGAGTTGATGAATGAGTAAGGAGGCTTTCTGTAACCTCTGTTTTTCTGTTTTGCACAGGTGCTGAACAGGTACTCTTCCACGCCTCTCATTCCTCTCCCAACACCACCTATTCTTCCAGTATTACCTCAACAGTTTGTGCCTCCCACTAATGTCAGAGACTGCATACGTTTGCGTGGTCTTCCCTATGCTGCTACTATAGAGGACATCCTGGAGTTCTTGGGGGAGTTTTCTACAGATATTCGGACCCATGGAGTTCATATGGTACTAAATCACCAGGTCGGTGGGCGCCATGTTTCTAGCCAGTCTGTGCCAACTGCCTGTGTATGGGAACACAGTCTCTCTGATATTAATAGGGAAGCACCTTTGGGATTGATACTAGTGGCATTAATTGGCCTCCATCCCTCCTCTAAAAGTGTACTGGCAATAGATGGGTTGGCTTATTTTGAACCCTGCTGCTGTATTTGCTGTAGGGTGGTTACGGAGATCCATGTGCCTAAAGCTAAGCCTCAGTCTTAGAGGCGTTGGGGCTCTCAGAGCAGCAGCTGTGATCCTGCACTGTTGGAGGCTTGAACTGAAGAGTCTTGCTCAACAGCATGCATAATTCCTGTTGTACCAGGCAAGGAGTATCTTTAAAACAAAAGTGTGGGCACTAAAGGAGTGGTTTACCCCTACCTCACGGAACAATGTGCCTCGGGTATATTTGAGGACAAATGTGCAGCCTTTTAGAAACAAGATTTCCTATGGTATAAGTCAGCAGCTGAAGTTTTGGGTTTCCTGAACTGTGTCGTTGCTTTCTTTAAACAGTCAGAGCTAAGCACCAAGATTAACAGCTCATTGACATGTATAAACGGTCACATCTTTGCCATTGTTTTCTGTAAGTAGTTTCTACCAAAACTTTTTAGACAAAAGATTGTGCATTGTTGTGATCAGCTTTATCTGCATACCCTTGTGACTTTACGGGGAGGAGACTAGTAGCTCCTGTAACTCTATGGAGATGCTTTGAGTAGTTGCAGGGATTACACTGATTATTGTGGTATAACAATGGTTCTTCTAAAATTGTTTTGGTTGACACTAAGCCGAAGCTGAAACTACAAAATACTTCCTTGTCTTGGAGTAGGGCTTCTGTGTTTCAGGTGTGTAGGGAGGGAGAAGGGACTATAGTTATTCCAGTACCTCTGTATCTAAAGAGATTCCTTTGTCTGAGGACTTGACCTAGCCAAGGCTGAAAAGCTATAAGGAATGTGCAGGGCTGGGAGAGGCTAAGAAAAGATGCAGATGTTAAAGCACAAGTAATGGTTTACAGTAGTATCAGCGTTTGCCAGCAGTGATGAAAGAACCTGGAGGAAGAAATTGGTATGTGTGTGCATGTATATAGTCCTGAGGGCTGTCTGTCACCCCTGCCTAAAGCTGTCAGATTTTTTTTTTTCCAGGTACTGCTTTTGCCTGACTACTAGATTCTTATCTTTCTGCATGCTCTCCGTACTCCCACCATTCCTGGTTTCAACCCTCTAATCATGAACAACTGTGTAGAGGATGGTGATAAAGTTGTTCTTCCCCCTGAAACTAGAAGAACTAGCCCACAACTTAAGTTAGAGCTGGCTTCAGAGCTCTACTTCTGGTCAGCAGCTGCATTGGGGCTAAAATGGCTATTCACAGTTGCATGTCCCACTCATTTACAGCTGTATATAAGGATGTAATTTTTTTCCTCTACAAGCTCATACCAAGCCTTAGGCTAGTACCTTTCTAAAAAATAACCTTCTAAAACAAGGCCCATATTGGCTTTAACAAAGTAAAGTTTTTTAAAAAATCATTTTATATTTGGCACTTGACTGTATTTACCCTTGAATTTTAAAAATCAGACAACAAATGTGGATTAGATCTTCCAATTCTGCATTCTTACTAAATAGGTGCTTTGAGACCTCCTCTTACCAAAGTACCCCTGAATTTTAGTCTGTCTCATAGGTGTCCTCATTTTTTTTAAACATAGGAGTAACATGGCTCAAGTTACAATGTAGCTTAATTGAAACAGGTAAGTAAATACAATCAAGTTAGAACAAGTTGGAAGACTGCCTGTATGATGCAGACAAGGATTCCCCAGCAACAGAGGGGAAGCTTCAAGGAGGGGAGCTGGGGATGGCTGAACTGAACACCCTAGCACCCCTAGGTGCTAAGGATGACTGACTGTACTTGACTTTGGAGATCACTATTTTTATGGCTGAAGAGGCTGCTTTTAACACCACAAATTATTGCTATGCTGCTCCTTTATGGGAGCTCCAGAACCATTTCCTTTTGTCTGCCTTCTTTGTAGGGACGTCCGTCGGGAGATGCTTTCATTCAGATGAAATCTGCAGACCGAGCTTTTCTGGCTGCACAGAAGTGTCATAAGAAGACTATGAAGGACAGATATGTTGAAGTCTTTCAATGTTCTGCTGAGGAGATGAACTTTGTGTTAATGGGGGGCACTTTAAATCGAAATGGCTTGTCCCCACCACCATGTAAGTTACCATGTAAGTTTTGCATGGGTCTTGCCAATACTCTACGCTGTGTGCGGGTAGGTGTTGGAGCTGCTTTCTTGACTCTGATTCTGGTTCTTGGAAAGGAGTCTCAGATGGGGGTATTAAGTAAGGTCTCTTCATCTTAAATCATCAGCCGCTTGCAATCATTATTTTTCCCTTTGGTTGTGAATTACTATGACTGAAGAACTACTTTAAAATTACTTTTGCTTTTCCAGTGGCAAACTTCCCCTTGCCTCTCTGAAACTTAACTTGGCCAGGGTGAGCCATGACTCTGAAAAGTAATTTGTAAGCCCTGCCTAGAGCTTAAACAGGAGTTTTCCATTTAGACTGATTTATATTTATATTTTTCATTGTGGTGAACGTGTCAAGTAAAAGCCCTTCCTCTTTCACCTCCAAAACTTAATTTATGAAACAATTGGTAATGCTTTCCTTTGGGACTTTAACCACAGTGATCTTCCTATCGAACCTTTATTAACTGAACTCTTCCTTTGCTTTTTCATTTGTACAGAATGTTTTCTGTTAGTACAAAATTGAGATTGCCTGTGTGGGAGTAAAATACACATAGCTGTGGCCTCAGAATTTCAGCAACTGTATTTGCTGTAAGATTATGCTCCTCAGAGCTACTAGGATGATCATGGACTTCTAGACAAACATTTGGGGGCAATGCTTTTAAGAGCCTAAGGGCTACCTTGCTAAGCATATGTGCCATATAAATCTGAGCCTATGGGAAAAATAATACTTTGCTTCCAAGATCATAAATGGCAAGGTAGTCAAGTAGGAGCTTTCTGTCTCTCTATGCAAATATATTATTGTTGTTGGCTTTTTTTAAGAAGTGTCCTCTAAATTCTAGTCAGAGCTGCCAATATGGCAGCAAACTTGTTGGGTGTGTTTCCTCTTGAGTATGAGTAGACCTTCAGGTAATCCTTGGGAAATGAATTTTCCAGGTGACTAGCTGCTTCTTTTTCTCCAGCCGCCCCCCCCGCCCTTTTTTTTTCTCAATGCAAGTATCATCCTGAGCTGAGATCTTCAGTATGTAGTCCTATGTGTGACAGCTGTTCCGGACAGGGGCAGAGTCCCAAACTTTGGGAACTCTTACACGGCTGTATTCCCATTTCCAGCTACAAATGCCAGTGATGTATTCTTCAGATAAGCCCTTTCAGCTCTCACTGCCCAGTCCCACAATGCAGTGAGATGCTGGCTGTCACTTTAAGCCTCTATTTTTGCTATTCAGACTTATCTAAAGCTTTTATATGCTGACCTTTATGGCACTGGGGAGGGGAAGAGGGAAGAATAAGAAAAGTGGCAAAGGAGGAGGGTGAACTCTTATCAGTGAGAATTCATTTAGGGCTTCACATCTTGTTGAAACACTACAAAGTGTGCTCTTGTGTGTGGTGACTTTTAAACTCATTGCTAACACTTGAAACTGCAAAGCCATGACTTTTCTCGCTCTGCTGTTGGTTAGAGCTGTTTGGCAGGTAGGGAGAGACAGGATGAAAAGGTGTCCTCTGCTCTGGGGAATGTTAGGCAGATCTTTAGCACACAAGTTTTCTTCTTACAGTAGAGAAGTCTCACTTCTTGATTGGGGACTTCATTAAAATTTCTGCCTAGACAAGAAAAACTGGCCTTCTCTTCAGAAAGAGACCCTGTTCCCAGAGCAAGAGGTGTATTTTTGTGTATTACTGACTTTGCTTTTGACTGGGGGGGTGGACACAATGCTTGTAGTCAAGCTCATGTTGGTGTGTCAGATTTATTTTCTGTGATGAGCAAGAGAATGAGAAGCTTGTGAAGGCTCTTTACTTACTGCAGAGTTGTTCTGCTAATGAAGACCATATATATGCTGGAATTCAAAAGGTCCTAATCTATTTTCCATTTGTTCCTTTAGGCCTTTCACCCCCTTCCTACTCCTTTCCGGCTCCTGCTGCAGTTGTGCCAACAGAAGCTGCTCTGTATCAGCCATCCATGCTCCTGAACCCACGAACACTCCAGCCTTCCACGGCATACTACCCTGCTGGGGCTCAGCTCTTCATGAACTACACAGCGTACTACCCCAGGTAAAGCAGAGGAGAAACCAAGCAGGAACAAAGTCATCTTTTTGCAGCAAATGCATAAAGCTCACAAAAGAACATTGTCTGCCATGCTAAAGGCTTGTGCTACCAAGAACAGCTTGTTCAGTATCTTGTTCAGGGAAACAATTTCAGGATATCTTGGGATTTCCTAAGTTTTAGAGTATTTCAAGTAGTGATTTTTTTTTTTAACATGTCACTTGGTTATAGTGGGATTTTTTTTGTTTGATATTTTTTTTTCACATAATGTGCCTCTTAAACTTGTTAGTTTGCATTGTTGTGCCCTCAGTGGTAATTGGTGTGTGCAGTACTCCTTACCATGTCCATATAGAAGCCCTTGGCCCCTCTTTAGAATGGGTGGATTGGGGTCTGTGCTAACAACTTCTGAAATTCTGCCTCTGTTTTTGTAATAAAGTAAATGTTGACCTTTATGGTGAAAACTCTAAGTACTTATTTAGAAAGTACTACATTGAAGCATATATGTATTCAATGCATATGTAAAGCATATAGAGGCATATATTCTTGGGCACCTCATAAACACCTCTCAAGAAGGGCTTTTGGCTCTTCTGCATATATTAGCTATCTTCTACAGAACAAAAACTCTTGATACCATTTGCCCTCTGCAGTTATGAAGCCTTGGAAAGAGTCATGTTCCCTGTAAGCCATAAACCACTCCTCATCTGTCAGGAAACTTTCTAAAGAACTCAAGTCTTCTATTAGATTCTGACCAGTGCTTTTTTATCTCTGGAGGAGGGTCCAAATAGCTACTTAGGAAGTTGTTGAGCAATACGGACTCTCTAGTACTGGTCAGATAGCAAAGGTTCTCTTATTACTTTTCACTAAACCAATATGTCTGTGAGCTGCCTGTTGTGTTTTTTTATTATTGAAATGTTTTCTTCACTCATGAGTTAATTTCTATAATGCCTTCAATATCTGTCTTACGATAATGTTACCAAACTCAGCCTCTTTAATGTAAGATGAAGAAAAATAAAATTCCAAACTTGCACTGGCAATGTAAAACAAGTTTCTCAATAATAGTTGTGTATGTCATAAGAACACAGCAGCAGTAATAGTTTGTAGTGACTTTGATATGTACTTAAAGTAATAGTAGACTGGCCACTGCGGGCTAAGTGTCAGGCCCTACAGGGGATCTCTCACTGAGTGGGATCCCACATGAATCCCATCACTGGCTGCTTGGACTGTGGGCATCTATGTTGGTTATACTGATCAATCCCAAGTCCTAAAATAGCCTTTTTATGTTCTTGTCCACTGACAGTTGTATACTATTCTTAGGAAACCATTCCTATGTAGCTTCTGTGCCAATTACAAGTACCTCCCTTTAAAAAAAAAAGTTAAAATTTCTCGAGTCAACTTGGCTTCTTTCCATTTTGTGAGATCTGGTCTTTGGACATTGCTTTTCTATCCAGAGCAAATGTTTGATCTACAGACAAATTGTATATACTCCAGTAGAAGTAGTCATCCTTTGTAGCTGACACTTTTTTTTTCTAAAAATAAGCTTTATTGCTTTTCAGGCAAGTTCCCATGCTTTGTAAAGGATGCAATAAGTAATTGCGTCCCTTTCACGTAGCAGTTGGAACTCTCTTAAATGGAGTTTTCTGGTTCTGAAATTTAATTCAAACAAATGTTAAGTATGTGTAGCAGGAAAGAATGGGGTCTCCTCTGTACTAAGTGGTGCATTTAAATGCATGTACATGGAAAAGCAATACAGAGCTGGTGGCTAATGATCAGACAATGGTTCATAAATCTAACTAGTGAATACTTATGGAAATAAGGAAAGTTTCTTTGACCTGCTGCCAAAAGTTCTACCAATTGTGTTTTGCAAGGTCAAGTTGCTTTATAATAGCCAATTCTGTTCTCCATATCGATCAACCTAGATGGTGGGGGTGGGGGGAGGCATTGCTTTGGTCTTTAGTATCTATCAGAAATCCCTGAAACTCAGACTTGTCATAATGCTTTTATAGCTTTGGTGATGAAACCCAATGGTGTAAAGAAATGGATGCCTTCTATGCTATTAAAATAGCTTTAGTGAACTCCTAATGAAAAGGAGGGAGAGCAAGTTATTCGGGATCTGTCAGTCTTTGATATCTCTGTTCAACTTGTAATTATATCTGGCAACATGTTCTGACAGCAAATCAGTGGTCTTGGTCTCTGCCTAGTCCCAGGTTTTTGAGAAAAAGAACAATAGGATTCATGGAAGGGAGGAGTTTCTTTTCCTATCTAATCCTGGATAAATAGGTGTACTAGTTGCTGGTTTTATGTATGATGAAAGTAATGAATAACACTGCTGCTTGGCAACTGCTAACATGTTCTATGGATACTTCAACCATACACAAACTTGAAAGTTACTGCTATGGGATATTTAGTTTTAAAACAAAGTTGTATCTTATTGTGCTTATTTGGTTCTAATTCCATTTTGATCACTTTTTAAGCAGTGCCTCTAAAACCTCAAAAGTTTCTGTCAAAATCCATAATTGTAGGAACACACTTAAACTTTGTTCTTTTTTTCAACAATGGTTTGAATAGCAAGGCAGAAAGAGGAGCTTCTCACTCAGTGGGTAGTATGCTGGTGGGACCTGTCGCCAAAAAATGATGTGGAAGCTGAAAACTGATGTGGGTTCACGCTGGATAAATTCAAGGGTAGGAAATTCATGTGAGTTAGTGAATACACAGAAACCACATGTGGCTCGTGGCTGGGATGGGTACATTCTTTGCTGGGTTAAAAACCAGCTGGATGGCAGGCCCAGAGAGTTGTGGTGAATGGAGTTAAATCCAGTCAGTGGCTGGTCACAAGTGGTGTTCCCCAGGGCTCAGTATTGGGACCAGTTCTGTTTAACATCTTTATCAACAACCTGGACAAGGGGATCAAGTGCTCCCTCAGTATGTTTGCAGACAAGTTGGATGAGAGTGATCTGCTTGAGGGTAGGAGGGCTCTGCAGAGGGATCAATGGGCTGAGCCGATTAACTCTTGACCTGGCTGAAACCAGGACAGGCTCAACAAGGCCAAGTGACAGGTCGTGCACTTGGGTCACAACC